CCCCGCCTCACGCCCCCACCCCCCCCCCCACCCCCGACGAGGGACGTCCCACGACCACGCCCCACACACCAGCGACAGAAGCACTCACACGGGTTTCTCCAAACACTTTATTGGCTTTCAGTGACTGCCTGAGGCACCAGGCCGGCCGGGGCCCACCCCGGCCACGAGTAGGCCTGGCGCCCGCCGGACCCCACGTCGCGTGGGACAGCTAGTTCCAGCCCGGGACCACCTGGGAGATGATGGTGGACTGGAAGAAGGCGCTGAGCAGCGGGTGGTTGTGGACCACCATGTCCACGACATCCGGGGTGATGAGCCTCCTGCCGCTGTTCCGGGCCTCGATGCCGGCCAGCTCCAGGACCTTGGCCGTCAGGGACTGGATGACGGCCGCTAGGAAGATCGGGGCGGACGCGCCCAGGCGCTGCGAGTAGCGACCCTCCCGCAGGAGGCGCTCCACGTGGCTCACGGAGAACGTCAACTCGGCTCGGGCAGTGCGGGAGCGGACCCGGCTCTGGCCACTGGACGACCCTCGAGGGCTCCTCCTCACAGGCATGCTGGGCCTCGGCTGCGCTTTCTCGGACGGGCGTCGGTCTGGCATGCGCTGCGGGAAGCGGTCGGGTGCAGCTGGATGCGGTCGGGTGCGGCTGGATGCGGTCGGATAGGGCTGGATGCGGTCGGATAGGGCTGGATGCGGTCGGGTGCGGCTGGATGCGGTCGGGTGTGGCTGGATGCGGTCGGATAGGGCTGGATGCGGTCGGATAGGGCTGGATATGGTGCGATGTGGCGGGAAGCGGTGTAAAAAGCCAGTTGGCCCGAAGTTTCCAACCGGCAGCGTTCCAAAGCCACTACTCTATATCCTAGAGATCACAGACCGACCCCATCATTGGTCGGGTGCGCGTTTTGGGACACGTACATCCGGTGAAGTCACTGCTTTCCCATGGGCCCCCGCTGCAGAGAAACAGTGCTGGGTGGGAGCCTGCTCCCTGGAACCCGTTTGAAGGAACGCTGGCTTTTGGCTGGGCGGGCGCATTGTGCACACACAACACCCGTGTAGGAGCCAGCGGCCCCGAGTGTACACTAGAGGGGT